TGAATGGTATTAAATATGATTAATAGAAGAAACAATAGACCCGTTAGAAAAAAAATCAAAATTTATCCTTATAGACAAAAATGATCAATTACAAAACTACGATCAACAAAACCAAATCTCTATGTGAAACAACCAGTAACAATGACAAAATATATAACATAGCCAACACTAATAGATGATAAGAATTTACGTCGGTTCATGCAGTTTTTAAATGAGAAAAAGGGTTGAATTGGATTATCATATCGTAATAATATCTATTTTCAATATGTTCATAAATGATGCTAATTTGTTTGTTCTTAGTCTTTTCCTTTTCATGTTTTTTTTTGTCTAGAGAGTTGATGCACATCAAAACGTGTATAGCTCTGGAAAAAAAAAAGTCAAATCTTTTAAATTGTACTTCTTTTGTAAAAGTCAATTTGCTCAAATAATCATGTTAATGAGATTGATGAAGTACCACTTCCGCATGATTGACCACAATGAGATAAATATTCTAGTCGAAATAAATAGATCAGTTGTGAACACAGTTGTCACTATGCGTTTGTTAATATATTCAAGACTAATTCACGGACTAGTACCTTCATATGTCTTAATCATTATAAAATAAAATAAGATAAAAATAATCAACGACATAACTCATGTGAGCATTATTAGTTTCTAACTGTTTCTACATATTTTTGACAGATTGGAATAATGACACTTTAGAGGTTTAAAATGTATCTGAATAATAAAAAATATTCGTAACGTATTAATGAACAAAATACACTCTGGAATAGTCCAGATATAAGATAGTTCAACTATGTAACTTACGTTGTATAAATATGATACTGTAAGTAAGCGGTTCTAACTGCCTTAAGGTTACTATTTCATAGTGGTCCACTGTTTTATAATGAATATTCATTACATCTAGAAATATGTGCACACGCATCAATTTCAACTAAGTATACAAAAGAAGTCGACAAAACAGTCGTACAAACTTGATGATCTGTGTTGCTAATCATACAGTACACCGACGTAATGAAGGAGGTTAGCCACACAAACATATCACACTACTGGAGAATTGTCCTCAAACGTCAATTTGGAGCGCTGTTTAGAAACCAGTAGTACAATTCATACTGACAAGGACTACTTGAAGTTGAAACAGAAATCTTTTGCTTTTTTGCACACCTACCAGGAATATATGAATTTTTTTCTCGTTACAATCAGTTTATCTATTAAAAACTCCCAGTTCTTCTCGCTACCATTTTTTGTTATAGATTTATTTACAGCGTTTTCAAGATGCAAAAGTGTACAAATTAGTGGATAAAAATGTTTTTGATTATCGATAAATAAGAATGATATATCGTGTACGAAAGAATGTTCGCTAGATCAAGTAAAAACATACCACTATTAAATAATGTATGTGTTACAGTGGAAATTGAAATTCAGTGGAAATTAAAACTTCAATCTCCGGTAGTGCAGATTAAAATGTAAATCCCTGTATATATGATAAAACGTAGATTTTCATTAATTAACACTTTGAAGAAGAAATTTTAGTTTCCAAATTATTAGAACAAGATTACAACATCCGATGGGTATTTCCAGACGTGCGGGTGAACGAAAAATCAATATTCCAAGAATAACGATCTGAAGCACTCGCCGGATGTTGTAATCTTGTTCTAATAATTTGGAAACTAAAATTTCTTCTTCAAAGTGTTAATTAATGAAAATCTACGTTTTATCCTATATGCAGGAATTTATATTTTAATCTGCACTAGCGGAGATTGAAATTTTAATTTCCACTGTAACATGTGCAATAGTTTTATGCTTAGTTTTAGTATTACCATCAGAAAAGTTTACATGATTTAGATACGGTTCGTTTAATTGTGCACATTATTAGATAAAATACAATTTCTAATAAACAAATGTTATTTCGTTAATTCTCATTTAGGTGATTAAGATTATTATTCATTATTGAGTTTTAAAAATCTATAATTATTTTATGTGTTCGAATGTAATTAGAACATGCAATTATATCCATGATGAAACGATAGAGGATATAAAAACGTATGAAATGATTACTACGATTGTAATGAGAGACCAATTTATTTGTCATAGTAGTTGTAACATACAGTTCCCGCTATAGCATACAAAGATAAGCTATGCTACGCCTGACGTTTAGATGATCAATCTTTCCTACTATTGTTTTACTTTTCCATTCTTTTTACATCATCTTTTCACTAGATTAGAAAAGATTCTCCTTCTGATAATCAATGTTTATACAGCTATTTAGCTGATCGTCGTAGACAGATATAGCTAACGACTATACAATAATGTCTCTTGTGGTTTTTTATCTATTTCAGTATTTCTCAGATAAGTGGTTTTTCTAGATTAGCTTATGTCATTGCAAATAGGAGAACTTACTGTTATCTGAGAAAAGAATGGCAAAACTCATTTGTCAGGAGACTTCTAGAGAGTTTGTCCGCGAATTTATACGCTGTGAGCATAGTATGTTCACTATCATATAAGAAGTCGCAATGAAGCCGTCTTATTCCAATTTTTTTATTTAAGTGCTCAAGTACAGGAACTTATGCTTCTATTGTGCCATATCTGAATGAACAAATAGAACAACACTGATATATACATTCTAATTAATAATTTTTCCATTCGTCATTACATTTATACTGCTAAAACAGCTGACTAATGCGTCTAATGAAAATCTTTACAGCTAACGGAAATCAGATGATGAATCGCAAGCGAACAATGCATGCAAAAACACTACTGACGCACGAACAAAATAAGTTAGCCTACAATGACATCTCATTGAAGACGGTGATATTCCACTAGGCAGTCTAGAAAATAATAGTCCAAAAATAAAAAGGAAAAACTAAACAGTCACTTAGTTTTATTATATAAGTAGTGCGTTCAAAAGTTCCCGGACTGATTTTATTTAAAAACAACAAAAGAAGTTAGTCATAAATTCGTGCTTTCAAAGTATCTCCCCATTGTAGCAATACACTTTTGCCAACGCTCTGGAATCTTTTGTATAGCTGCTGTGAAGTCATCTTCAGGCAGACGGTTAAGGCATCGATGTATTGCTGACGGACTTCGATCATTGTAATGCTTTCCTCTGAGGTGATCTTTCAAAATTGAAAATAGGTAATAGTCACTGAGAGGCTAGATCTGGAGAATAATGTGAATGCCAAAGTAGTTTGTATTTTAAATCGTGAATAGTAGACGAAACAAGATGTGATGAGTATACTATAGTAGTATTAAAATATCTGAAATTGAATCTCAGGATTGTTTTCTAATTTGGAGGCGAAGTTAATTTACCAAAATATTTACGTAATGTATCCCAGTTATTATTTAATGTAAATAATCTTCTCTCTTCGTAATTCAAGTCATATTAGCCTGACGACGATACTGTGAAGTATCGAAAGATTGTTTTTTATGTAAAATGTTTTTCAATTATATTAAATATACTTAGTTTTCCTAAAAACGTAAGAAAGTCAATATAAAAGATCCCTCTTGACTCCTCCTATCCCGGTAAATCAGACTAGTTTTTTGAGAACGATCTTCTCAAAAAAATCTTGCTTTCGAAAATGATTTTTTGAAAATTTGTTTTGTTTAAAAAAATACGTGTCCTAGTCTCTCTTCTCGAATTGTAAAAATCATAAGTTACGCCCGAGACTATTCTATTTTGAATTGGATAGTAAGTATACACAAAAAATATTACCCAAATATACGCAGGTGAAAAATAACGAAACGAGGTAGTTAGTACTTCACTGCAAACAGTGCTCATGTAATAATTCTCGAGTCTCTCATTGTCTTCGGTGTTACACTACGAAGCCCATATGTGATCATAATAATAGATCAAACGTATAAACATTTTATTATTACAATAAATATATATGGAATCGAGAACACATTGAAAGTTCTCAGAATTAACATAGTCGATTCGACAATAAAACAATTGCGATACAAGCATATAGTTTCGATTGTTTTCGTTTACAAACGATAAATTTGTAATATGCACGTAACCACATAAACTAGTAACACCAGACGAATGCAGACATAGACGTTATGATACAATAAAATCCCATTACCGATAAATAATGGGTATATACAACAGTTATTGATATTGCTGTAAGAATTTTAAATCACAACTAGACAACGACAATCAGACTTGTGTATTTATCGATGTTTCGGTTAATTGTTCGATATCGTAATGTCTGCATACTTAAATCTTCTTGAAATCACCAATTTGAGTGCATTACTGATCGTGTACAAAAAATAAACTCAACCCAAGTCAACGTTCCCGTTGAAGTCGCGGCGTGACTCGTGCTATAAAGTCGCGGCAAGATCGTGTACCGTGGTCGCGGTAAGACTCGCGAAATAAGAGTCGAGATTCGGGATCACGGTTTTCTCGCGATCAGCTAGAGACTGCATCTAACTTCGCGATCACTCTTGGCCAAACTCTTACACTCGTGGCAAGAGTCCCGATCGTTTCTAGCTTACTCTTACGCTCGTGCTGTGACTCTTGGCCTAATCGCTGACAGCTAACTAATATTATTGCAATAGTCTTGTTCGCTACGTTGATGTACCCTTTTATTTACCTTTTACAAATGTCGCTTATTTTTTGAGTACTTGTTTCAATCGAACGTTATTCAAAAAAATATTCATAGGCACTATATTTTGAAATGATTAATAGTTAAATGTTTAAACAGATGCAATCAGTACTCAAAGGCTTATTTCAATAACGATACATAAATAAAAGCTGTAAAAAAAAAGAAGTCGTTTTTATATCAGAAAGAGTTTTGATCAAAAATGAAATTGCAAAAAGAATATATCAAAAACTATATAATAAATCACAAGTATTCGACTTTTTCCAATAAAAATCAAACAAAGTATATGCATCAAAAAAATATTTTTCAAAAAATATCACGTAGAAAAGAAATTATATAAAATTTATTGCACACGTAAAACACATACACACACACACAGGTTGTTTGTTCAATATCAGTTTAACCAGATGAGCAAATTCTATTGTGTAATGGAATTGCTGAAAATCCAGCTATAGTAATACCCACAGAATCACCAATCGATGCGACACCCATCGAAAATTCTCTATCACGTTCAGGAATCTGAAGAGAAAAATTGTCACAATTACGATAAATAGATGAAATATCGAAATTACCTCGTTTGTTATTTTATAAAACGTGTTGACATAAGCACAACCACCAATTAAACCTTCCCACAAAACAAGTGCAAATACGAGCCATATACTCGGTATGTGTGCTGTTCGAAATACACAAAGGAAAAATAGAATAAGATTGATAAACTAAACAAAAAAAGCAAAGTTAAATAACAATCTCAAATATATTCAAATAAAAATTCAATACCTGGATAATAGGAAGAATAAATAAATATTTCACTCTGAATAAAGAAACAGATGATCGAGATATAAACACACCCAATTGATAATCAACAGAAAACCTGAAAGTAAAGGAGAACAATAACATTATGAGCTCAGAATAGTCGTGAAGTATGTTTAGTTTACCAACGATATTGTTCGTCATGCTTTACTAGTTCTTTACCTATGTATACATTTCGAAAAAATATTAATTCATACTAAAATGAGAGAAATAACAGAAATATTTTTCAAAAAGAAAGGTACTCATTTAACATACTAATCCCTGATTTATTAAATATTCTGCAAAATAAACTAATGTCAGTGGTATCATATATTTTAATAAAGGCTAAAGACAATAAAAGAGATGACAAAATTGTTATAAATGACTCATTGTACTTACTTTTATTAAATCTAATTTTCTACGTGGACTTAACGGTGTAACTATTTTTGTTTCATCTTCTTCTTCTTCTCCCTCGCTGCCTTGTTCACTATTCGTTTGTTGCTTACCTTTCAAAAAACAATATCTGGTACAGAATAATTCATAAACTATGAAACAATTCATCTTACTTTTACCAATAACTGCTTCGTAATGGCTATGTTTTGCAGCAGCTGAACTAGCCCCAATCATAAAATAACTGAAAAAAAAAGATAATATCGATCATATCGACTAGATGACTTTTCCAGCTTCTTCATTTACCTAATTACTTCAAGAACTGGTATAAATAATAGAATAAGCATAGTCGTTTGGGGAGATATATGTAAAAGGGTTGTCATTCCAGCGTAGGATAATGAGCCTAATAATCCGGCAGCCCCCGTTCCTGATGACCAAGCAGAAACTGTATGCTTGGAATAAAATGATGAAAGTTGAAGAAATGTGATTTCACCAAATCCAGAACTGATACTGGCGCACGCAACACCTATGAACAACCAGAAAAATATTCATCTGTGCAATATTATTGTCTAAAACTATTACCAAATAGACTAAGAGCAACTACATTTGATACGCCAACAATAACTAAGGAACCGATTGCAAATGACACAAGTAAAATAAAACGAATACTGAAAATAAAATAATATTGATGAAAGATTTTACTATTAGAGAGTAATCAATCATACTTATATCTGATTTTATGCATGTAAATTGGGGCCGTTATTTTAATGAGCAGAGCTGGTAATATGTCCGCTAGCAATATTGCCTCAATGAGAAAATTAGAGTTATTCCAATATATATATATTTTGAATCCGAAAAACATGATAGTTTAAGTAATTAACATAAAAAACTGATCATCCACATTTTAATCATAATATCACTTACTCCCGTTGAAAGTTTATTACAATCAAATCGATTCGTGATATTTGTAGTTGGTGTTGGGTCAGTGCTATTATGATTAGTACCATTATGATTATGCGACCTCAATATATCGTGAGCAGCACTTAACATTACAACATCTAAAGGCAATACGGACATCTGGTTCAATAGATACAAAGAACAAGGTTTCAAAATATAAACTTACATCCAAAATTATTACATAATCCAAGAAGCCTAAACCAAAAATCGTAAACAAATTATATATCCCCTATTGTAATAAACAATTTTTTTTATACCAAAAGCCAATGACTTCGATCCAAAAACGACGTTTTTCGACGGACTGAATGAATCCAAGTCGAGATTGATTAAGCATTATATGAAACAAAAAGAACTATATACGCTATAATTGATAAAGAAAGATAAAAAAAAACCAACTATCATTGTCTTTCTGCAATAAATATGGGAATACAGCATATTTAAAAATTGAGAAAGAAAAAAATAAACGAAAACTTTGTAAATCTTCTTACATTGTTACTACCGATATGTATATACAATAATATCAAACATTAACGACAAAAGTAGATTTATCGAAGAGAATGTTGTTGAACGAAGAACAGTGTGAACAAACGTTACCCTTTTGTTGAGAGATAATTACAAATAAGAGTTGTAGCGCTTAAAAATAATTTGTCAAGCGTATATGGTATACTGCAAATTTTATTTTTTGTTTAAATATAACAGATCAAAAGTAAACAGAAAAACCCAAACTTCAAGTACTTAAGAAATAAGAAAAGTTACCAAACGAAAAATTAATTTATAGAGTATTATAGTAATAGTATAATAAAATACGACAATTGCACGTTCATATAATTTATTTCAACAACGACCATTTGATTTGTTCTTTGGCATGATTGAGAACCTTAAAGTAAACGAACAAAACAAAACAATAATTTTAATAGTCAAAATAGTTTTTAAACGAGAAACTTTCGTGCAAACACTGCAGTCATTTGAAGTCTTTGTTATTTTAGAGAATCATACGGAGGCCGACTCATTTCAACAGATCACAATATCATGGCAATAAAAAACCAGAACAAACACAGCTACAAAGAACTCCATCTGTGTTTCTTAAACAAATCAAATTGTGTATGGATAATGCACATGCTGTGTTTAGCAATACAGAAATACTCTCACTAATGATTCGTCACGTACAATGAATACAGGATGAAATGCTGATAATGTTGATAAAGTCTAAAGATAGTTATTTGGAGAATGAAGACTAGTACAAAATAGCAGTTGTAAAAGAGGAAAGAAATGACTGTCTTATTTTGATGTAAAACACATTTTTGACAGCATCATTGTAGCTAATATGATACGTAAAAGCTTACCAAAAGAGATATTAACTTTGCAGGAAACACAAGAAGAATTTGTGACATTATGAGAAAGATCTTCATGTCTTACAAAAAAATATTTCGAACTACTAAAATTAACAGTTAAAATTAACAGTGTAAAATTAACGTTGAGGTTTATATAAAAAAAACACTAATCTTAAGGGATAGTTAGCTGATAAATTCAATCAAAGCGCTCATTCTATCTCTTTAAGCTAGGAATAGCAGTCATATTGTTCAAACATAGTCAGTTTTGCCATAATTTGATCGTACACTGTAGATTAGATTACCAGATACTATACGTGTACTAATTATATTTTTTGAGTCTCATTCTAATAGAGATTTTTTTTACATGATAGATGTTTTTTTCTTCATAGTCAGTGTGGACGAGCATTTATAGTTTAAACAAAAAACTTTTGATTATTTATAAGAAAGAAACATAAGCCAATATAATTGTGAAATAAATCGGTGTAGATAAGTAAAAATTCTGATTACAGAATGTTTCAAAAGCGAAAGCGATCAAATTTTCTATTCCTACTGGCGCTGTTTTCTATACTTATTCATTTATAAGTCATAATTTAATAATGATTGAAGACCTTGATAGAAAACCTGAAGTAAAACAGTTCGAAACTTTATATGTATATGCCTAAATTTTGATAAAAATCTGACGAATTTTGAATAAAAGTTTACCTGTGCTACTGTTTGTTCACCCAACGGAATATCATCTTGACGGAGTTGTACACGTTGTATAATCATTATTGGATCAGCTTCTAATATAATACTAAACAGAAAAAAAATGAAACAATTGATACGAAAAATCGTCATTTTTGAAGTTTATGCAGTCGATTTAACCAGTACGGCGCAGATTTTTTCGATGATCAGCTTGAGAGTTACAATAGAAGTACTAATATCACACTTCTTGTCACAACAGTGTTTAGAAACTCGATCAAATTTACGACAATATATGCATTCTCTTTCTATTCAAACAGAACATCATTTACTCATTCTTAAACTTCAATTACCCTTCGTCGCATATTTCATCAATTGTTAACATCACTAGATCTAAATTATCATAAACATGACGTTTTTCAACATTTTTTCTTAACATTGTGCTTAATGATTCAAATAAACAAGATAAAACAGCACTAAGCATTAACTAAATTGAAAACAACAAAGATTTTAAAATTAGAAAACAAAGATTATCAAAAATCGATACTATCTTCGCTTACTTCATTTTCATTTGTACTGCCCATAACATAAAATAATAGGTCAACATTGTTTCTGTAAACAATTGTCATATTATCAAGCAATATAACATCACCAGAACCTTTGTGAGTTTTATTAAATAAACTCTTTTCAAATTCTTTTTGTTCTTTCACAGTTGAAAATAACTGATTGTAATACTGAATAAAATAACAACAATAAAAATATAATGTTCTATCTCTCCAATATCACTCGCATCTTACTTTTGCCATTATACGATTTCCATCATTATCCAATATTATAATACCTAAAGACAAATGAAATAATCAATCACGAGAATATCATAAAAGTATTCTTTGTTAACCTTTAATGACATATAAAGATGGTGCCTAGATGAAAAAACATATCTTCTATTAATCAATATTGCATTTTAAATGAATAATAAAATACTTACGGATAAATTGTCTAAAACCATTTTTGATTAAATACAGGCTAGAATACGGAACGGATCTGAAATAATGATAAATATTTAAAAATACAGTCTTCGAATAGATTCAACTAATATTATTAATATTATTATGAAACATGTTTTTTCTATTAAATAAATATGATCAGGTATACATACATGATGTGATCACTTTTTTTTATTCGAAATCATTTACAGTAAATACTGACCGATTTCATACGAGAGATTTTAGGAATATGAAGTAAAAAGTAGATTTAGTTATGCCACGTATGCAATTTTAGCGATTTAACGACCGACTATGATGTACAAAGAACGGAACGTCGACTAGAAGAAATGACAACCTAAAGGAGCTAGAAGACTAATCTCAGTACTTTTGTTAGTATTCAACAGGATTTGTACCTTATACAAAATATAAAGAATAACATTGAAACAACTTCCTCAAAAGAAAAAAATCTCAGAAAGAGACAAGCCTGATGAACGAATTAAATAATATTATTAGGTCTCATTTACTCTACTTAACTAACGATTCGTTGGTTTCTATACCAATGGCGTTACTTAACATTTTCTGTTCAAGATCGCGTTATCATCATCGTAAAAATTTTTTTCATTAGTATAAATCATAGCGGTTGATAATTACTAATAGTGTGCAATATCTAATGAATAAGATGAACTTACTTCGTTTCATAGCAGCATATACGTTTATATTAGAGACATTAGCCGACTCTCTGAACGCAGCAACGCCAGGTCGCTTACCAACACAGATAGAATTTTTTCACATTACATGAAAACAGACTTATGGCGATAGTGTGTGTATGCGGGAGGATTAGAGACCGAGAATCTACATGTGAGTTTAAAAATATTACTTTGCTTTTTATAAAAAAAGATCACACAACCTGCTATCTACAAGCCTCTCTATTATCTTCGTCATCCTCGTTCAAATTCTTCTATGTTCTGATTTATTTGCTCTAATACGTTCATATTTCTTCAAACAAAGTTTTTATTTTATTGATTTGTTACAAATGTTTTCTCTTCTAAAAATTTACAGATTTCCAACGTCAGAACCTCATCTGCGTCTAGTGTTCTTGGCCTAATAACTGACTAATTCATCTACTAGCATAGTCGAATCCATGTTTAGATAAGCGTAAGGATCGACGAGAACCGACGGTAAATCTTGATTTTTCGGTTAAATTCACAACCTACTACGACCGCAACCCAGGTTCGACTCATTGTCAGCACTATACTTTTTTCTTTTTTTTCGATCGTTCGGCCTGTTCGTTTATTGTGCGACCAGTTTTTTCAAGTACAAGATCGTAGAAATTTAATAAAAAATATTATATCATTTAAACTGCTTTTCTGACTTGTTCTTACATGAACAAGTCAGAAAAGCAGTTCAAAAAAATACCAACGATCTGCCAATCATTCAACCGGTCGGTACTGTTCACCAGCAGTAACTATTTGTATTACGGAAAAAATTGCGACATGGGTTGCTCCGTATCTGAATATTGTTTCAATAAACCGAACGTCAAATTTAAACTTTTTTTGCATGTTTTGTTCTCTAGACGTTGCTGTTCCAGCAAATAAAAAATCAACCGA